TGCAGGCAGCTGGGCTTCGGCGGTGGCGAGCTGGCGCCGGACGTCGGCGACACGAGCTGCCGTTTGTCGTCGAGCTGCCTCGGGGTGGATAGCACGTTGGCGAGGGTCTGCGACGGCGGACTCGGTGGCGCCCAGCCTGTGGTTGGTGGTTGGTGGGGACGCGGAGCTGGTCCACGGAGGCGACGAGCGATGTCGAAGCAGTGCAGCTGAAGGAGCCCATAGCGGTGTTGACGTGCGCGAGAAGTGGGGCTCGAAGATTATGAGCTAGCGGTTGGAGCGCTGCGCTTGTATCTCGTGGGCAAGCGACTTCAGGACCTTGGCAGGCATTCTCGGGTTCTTGCTCGGGGTGAGCTGGCGCAGGGGCCGGTGGCGGCGATGGCGGCAAGGTGGAGGCGGCCAGGAAGGCGGCCTCGAAGGCTTGGTCAGCTTGTCCTCCTCCTCCTCCTCCTCCTCCTCCTCCCTGCCTCCTCCTCCTCCCTGCCTCCTCCTCCTCCTCCCCCTCCCCCTCCTCCTCCTCCTCCTCCTCCACTTCCACCTCCTCCTCCTCCTCCTTCTCCGCCTCCTCCTCCTCATTCTCCTCCTCCTCCTTCTCCCCCTCCTCCCTCGTGGCACAGGAACTCGGTGCGGAGCTCGGGGAGCAGCACGGTGCCAAAGGTCTCCTCCAGGCTTTGAAAAAGATCGGGCACCGTCTCCCACCCACCTCCAGCGGATTCGGCCGCTGGTCCTTCCACCCTCCTCCCAGGTCGTTGTGCGTGATGAGATGCGGAGCCGTGGGCGGCCACGCGGGCGGTGGCGCCACCAAGGGCGAGTCGAAGAGGAGCGCCTGAGTGTCAGTCATACTCGTTGGTCAGGGTGGTCTCCAGCTGCGCATTCGCCGCCTCGAAGTTCTTCTCGGCGCCCTGTCTTCTACGAACTGGTGCGTGGGCTGCTCCAGATTAGCGTTGTCGAGGTCCAGCGGGCTCTCGCGTGCCAGTGGGCCATTGTCGCGGTCATTGTTGGTCTCTTTCATTGTCTGTTGGCGATGTCCCCGATCTTGTCCACGTCAAGCAGGGTCAAAGTCAGGTTTGGCACGGCCACGCCCACTGCGGCAAGTGCTACGGTCGTCGACGGAGGCCTCATCCGCGGCGCCGTCCACGGAGACGTCGATGCGCGGCATGGTGCCGGAGGCGGGGTGAGGGCGATCTGCAGCATGACGACGCCGTAGAACAAGGCCAGGGGCAGCTGCTGGGCGGGAGTGCGGAGGCGACGCAAAGCGGCGCAGCACAGCCACAGGAGGAGCTCGTCCGTCGCGCAGGACGAGGATATGGAAGCCACGAGCGCACAGCGCAGGTGCCAGCTCACCCCAGAGTGTTGCTGGAAATGGTTGGGGACATTCCCCAGCCCAGCGTTCTCCGGCAGCACGGCGGCATGGAGCCGTGAGCCCAAAATGGCTACGGACGAGGAGGAGGACGACGAAGGCGACGACGACGCCGATGACGACGATGAGCTTTAGACGCCCCTCCCTGGCGCGCCTCCTTGAGCAGGGCGTCCTCGATCTCCACTGCCTGCGGCTCATCGGCCGCCGCTGCCGTCCGCCGCCTTCGACGCCGTCGTCGTCCTCGTCGACGGTCGTCGACGGTCGTCGATGGGCGTCGTCGTCGACGTCGGTGGTCGATCGTAGGCCGTCGTCGCCGTCGTGCGTCGTCGTCGTCGTCCTCGTCCTCGTCGTCCTCGTCCTCCTCCTCCTCCTCCTCGTCGTCGTCGTCCTCCTGCGCCTGCTGCGCCTACTCTTCCTCCTGGAACTCGTCCTCCTCGTTCTTCTCATCTGCTACTTGTGTTCGTCCCCTTCCTCCGCCTGCTCCTCCTCGCCCTCAACATCCACCGCATCCGCCGCCTGCAACGCCTGTCTACTCGTCCTTTTCCAGCCCCAACTTGCCCTCCTCCTCCTCCTCCTCCTCATTTTCCTCTTTCTCCTCCATTCCTACTCATTATAAATACTTCCCCCCTGTCGCACCCCCAGACGTGTTGGTAAGGCGGGCCGGATATTTCGCCTGAGACTTCCGCGCCATTTGTGATCCCGAAGCTTGAAATGTGCAACAGCTTCACGCATGGAGGGCGGGTCGTTTTCAAAACGTAGCACCGCGCACACTCGTCCTACTAAAGTTTGCAACCGTTTCACGGATGGAGGGCGGGTGGTGCCCAAAATGTGGCTCTCGCTTTTGCGCCGCGCACATTCGTATTAAAAACGTGCAACCATTTCATGGGCCGAGGGCGAGTGGTGCTCAAGATGTGGCTCTCGCCTTGGCGCCACGCACAATCGTCTTAATAGTCTGTAACTGGTTAGAAGATAGAGGGCGGTTATGTTTCGACGTGTGGTTATTGCCTTAGGGCCGCGCGTATCCGTCTTGTAAGTTTTCAGCGGTTCCGAAGACCCGTGTAGTGTTGAATCCCAGGAACTACGATTCTGGCACGATTTAGGACTGTGCGGACGCAACAGGGACGTTGACTCGGGGTGCCGAAGTCCAAGGAATGGTGTTCTGGCACGGTTGGGGATTGTCAGGACGCAACAATCAAGTTGATCCGCGGCGTTGTAGTCCCAGGAACGGCGTTTTAGTAACAAGCTGCGGCATCCTCATCACTGGGCCCACAGGCATCGTAATCGGCGATACTTGTCTAGCGGAGATCGCACAGAAACTTCTCTTCGACTCATTTCGGTAATCGTCAACTTTTTCATTGAACGCATCGATCAACTGATCCAATCTGGCAACTTCAGCACCGCCTCAGCTCTAGTCTTATACAGTCTCATGACGTTCATCTGATTGTGGCTTTGGAACTGGTTATTGTAGTCGGCAGTTACGTGTTCGCGTACCTCAAGTCTGTTCGCACATGTCTTTCGCATGTTTCTGCGGGTCCCGCGACAAAGTTTCGCGCATGGACATCACGCTTTTATGTGTAGAAACTTGGACATCCGCGTTGTTTAGCTGCTATTGGAGGGCAGCGCGGTTCATCCTCATGCCACCCACGGCGGCTACGATTTCGGCCCATCTGATTGGACCTGCTCCAGCTCATTGCTCTGAGCGAGCTGTTGAGCTCGCAGGGCCCCGACTCCTGTCTCGAATTCACGCAGCATGCCATCGCGCTGCTTACTCCAGCGCTCAGTGGGTCGCTGGCCCAGTACAGTAAACTGTTTAGGGGTAGGCATTACTACTCTGTCTCTGCGGCTGCTCGTTATCCTGATCCCTGGTACTCTGAACCACAATTGCTTCGACAGCAGCGCGAGCTTCAGCATCGATGGCTGGGCGGACTGCGGGTGGTTGACTGGCCACTTAGGCCATCCACACAGCTTCCTCCGCAACGGCCAGCGCTTGCCTGTCGACGCGCCCGCCGATGTTGGCTCTCGCGTTTTCTGGTTTTCTGGATGTGCCGCGGACAGCCCGGAGAGCATATCTCTCCGTTACTCTCGAAGATCCACTTGTCGTTGCCCGATCTGATCCTGCACGGCAACTTGCACATCCAGCAGGGACATTCGGCAGCACAGGCGCGCCAACGCGACGCTGATCTGGTCCATGGTTCCTGCCGGTTCGACGCTCATCGGTTTGGCCCACGCCACAATTCGACGCTCCTCATCATGGACTGCATCAGTTCGACGCTCATCGGTATCTACCCCAGAAGGCGGCCGCAAGGTTTGCCTCCGTTGCGCGCCTTGGCTCATTCTGGCTGACATTGCAGCTGTATGTTGTTCGGGTGTACGACCACAAAGGGGGGAACGCATCATCGACGGCGCGGGGCATATAGCCACCCCGCTGTCCTTGCTCTTCCGAATTCATCCTGCACACGGCCAACCTTCCTATAGCACCAAACTTCCCCAACGCAACCACTTCAGCGCAAAATTGCCCCGCCGCAACACCCGCGGCGTCAGGTGCCCCCGCCGCAATTCCCGGGACGTCAGGTTTCCCCGTCGCGGCGGCCGCAGCGCCAGGTTTCCTCGCCGCAGTGGCCCCGCCATGAGAGACATTTGCGGGCGTCGGTGCATTGAAGTTATACCCTATAGGAATGGCACTTTCATTGCCAAGTTTTCGATCCGCCTCAGCCGCGGCGGGGAAAGCCGACCGCTCGCACGTCATAGCGCGGCCGCCAGCGGCCCCTTCAACCTCGAACAGAATGTCCGCGAATATGGCCTCGAGGTTCGCGACCAGCGGATCCGAGGTGCGCAGCCCCCCGCGAGAGCGGGCCTTTCGGCGAATCACCTTTTTCATGGCGATGGGACGGCCAATGGACCAAACCTCGACTGGTCAAAATGTTGATGGTCGAAGGCACTGACTCGCCTGCGACGGCGACCAGGTTCCCGTCAGTGTTTCGAACTAGCGTCCTGTCGTGAGTCACGGGAACACTCCGAGAAGAAAACAAAATAGCAGAGCCGTTTGCAATTCGACTCGACGACGACAGCGACGACAACAACGCTGGGGTCACCGCCGTTTCTAGCCTGTCGCCGACGCCACAAATGCTGCGGCGCTCCCCTCCCTGCAGCAGCAAAAGCAGGAGAAAGGGAAGAGGAAGGGGAAAGGGCCTAGGCGGACCCGCGATCCCCCAAACACAGACGGCAAGACCGTCAAAAAAAACATGCGCCATGAACGAAGGATAAAGAACAGGAGGAGGACGAGGAGGAGGAGGAGAAAAGGGGAGAAGGAGGCGTAACAGAAGGAGGATGGGGAAAAGAAGGAGGAGGAGGACGAGGAGGAGGAGGAGGAGAAGGAGGAGGAGAGACGAGGAGGAGGAGAGACGAGGAGGAGGAGGAAGAGGAGGAGGAGGAAGAGATGGAGGAGGAAGAAGAGGAAGAGGAGGAGGAGTGCTACACACCCAAAGAGAACCGGTGGAGACAACGATCCACCCTCAGCCTCTCCGCAAGGGCGGGCAGGCCTGGCCGGCGCCGCCAGAGCTGCGCCGGGCGAGCTGCGGCACACGCGGCCCGGCCTCCTCCTCCTCCTCCTCCTCCTCCTCCTCCTCCTCCTCCTCCTCCTCCTCCTCCTCCTCCTCCTCCCGCAGTCTGCAGCCGTAACACAACGTGCATGATAGAGCAAAATGTATCGCCGCTGTCGCGCGCGGGGGCTGCGGGGGGCGAAGGCAGGGGGAGGACGGAGGCACGAGCAGAGCCGGGGTGTTAGACAGGAAGGACAGGGGGAAGGCGGGGGAGAAGAGGAAGAACGGGCCTCCTGAGCTGCATGTCCTGAGTCTGCATCACTTCTGGCCGAAAGTGCGGGGCCCGACGCATCAGAGCGTCACAGGAGCTATGATTGCATGTGCTTCTCCAAAAAACGTCTCGGTTTTCGCCTGGATCTGATTCACACCGAGCGTGGGTACATCGGGCAGGGACTGCAGGAGCTTCAAATTCTCGCGCATGTGGTAAAACATTGTCTGCCTGTACCAGGAGGTCCGTTCCCAGAGACATACACACTCGTCGGCGCCGTCCATGGCATGTATCAGACCACTTACTTATTGGAACGTTCTGGAGTGGAGGGCTGCTCGATACATAGCCGCTCTCGTCATGCAATAGAGGTGCCTTGCACGAACTGCCAGGCCGGTACGTCGGAGGTCATAAAGGAGTTCACGGATATTACATTGCGGAGAGCCTCGGTGACGATCTGAAAGGCACGATAATCTTGCGATAAGGCAAACTCGGAGAGCGATATGAAACGGGCGACATAGCTCATGCACGTGAAGGCATATACATACGTTATACCGCAGCACAAACTGAAAGAGGTCGAACTCCAGGGCACTGCATTCTCAGGCTCGTCGAACACTCTTATTGGCAGGACCCTTCCGGCGTTTCGTGTCCGAGTCTTTCCCTACCCAAATCCCCAAGCACTTGCCACATTCCCCCGCAAGCCCGCGTTGCAACAGGATCACGTCAAATTCCTGGCCATCTGTACCCTTCACCGCCACGACCACACACTTGGGCAGGAATACAGGCAGTCAGGGCCTCCACCATATCAGCTGTGCCAACTCCCATATCATCGGCAACGGCTGCTGCAATGCCAACAGACCGAGGAAGACGAGAGCAAAACATACGAAGGATCCGGTCGACGATGATCGCGCACAGCGTTCCTGAGAGCAGACATCCCTGTTTGATGCCCCGAGAGACCTGGAACGAGCTTCCCCGACCACCCCCGAAGGAGACCTGGATACGAACGTCCCTATAAAGGAGTTGACAGCAGCGATAAAGGAGGAGGAGGAGGAGGAGAAGGAGGAGGAGAGAGAAGGGAGAAGAGAAGAAGGAGAGAGGCAAGCTAGGTGCGCTCGGGTCACATGAGATTTCTTTTTCTATACCAGCGAACATGAAGCACGAATGACCTCATGCCGGCGAGATGCACCAACCAAACGGGAGCAACGGGAGGACCAACCTGTAATAGGCGAGCCACATTTGACATCCTATCCCTCCCTCCCATCCCTTCCCATTGCGCTGATGTTCTCTATCCGCAGACGCGTGTCATAGCCGACCTGGAACCCCATTAACCCAGCAAAGCACGCTGATAGCAGCCAAGGTGACCTGCGGGACCTTTCGGGCAGGTGGGAACTGTAGGACTTGTACGATCTGCGGGACATGTGGAACTTGTGGGACCTCTGCGGCCTGTGGGACCTGTAGGACCTCTGGGACCTGCGGAGCAGGTGGGAACCGTGAACCTGACGAACTTGTGGGAGCTGCGGGACTTGTGGGACCCGTACGACCTGAGGGACCTCTGTGACCTGGGGCCTGTGGGACCTGCGACACCTGTGGGACCTGCGGGACCTGTGGGACACGTGGAAACTGTGAGACCTGCGAGACCTGCGAGACCTGTGGGACCTGTGGGACCGGCGGGACCTGTGGGACCTGTGCGACCTGGGAGGTCTCTGCCAGACCTGTGAGACCTGCGACAACTGTGGGAGCCGTTGGACACGCGGGATCTGTCGGACCCGTGAGACCTGTGGAACCTGAGAGACCTTCGACACCTGGGGGACATGCGGAACCCGTGGAACCTGTCAGAACCTGTGGTACCTGCGGGACCTGTGGGACGACCAGCATCACCTATAAATCCTGCGGGACCTGTGGGACCTGTCGGGCCAGCGAGACCTGCGAGAACTGTGGGACCTGTGGGATCCAGACAGTGGTCCACGCTGGAACGCGAACGCCTTTCTGAACGACGGGAGCAAAACGCCGATTCGAAAATGAGGCCCACGCTGCAGCGGGAGCACCATTTGGGAAAACGGCAGCCATCGGAATGCACAAACTCATAAGGAAAAACACCTTTCGAAATCAATACGCGGAGGGGGCAGGATACCTCCCGCACGCAGTCATGGGAGAGAGAGAGAGAGGAGATTGGTATTCATATTGTCTAACTGTCGAGAGGGGCACCGAGGAGGAGGAGGAGAGGAAAAGGAGGAGAAAGGAGACAGGTTAGTCCGCGCCCTCGGGCCTGCGGCGTGAGGTCACCTGTTATGGTGACCTTGATGCGGCCGTTCAGCGCCTCGCCAGTGCACGGCGTGGCCCTCGGCGGCACCCTCTGGAACACGAAAGGTCCTCGTCGTCGTCTAGAAAAATACATCAAAGTTCTGAGGTCGCGCGGAGCTCGGCCTTGGTGGCGCCGGTGGCGCCGCCAACGGGGGGGGCAGCGCCGATCCGAGACACCGGGGCGTCGTGGTCGTCGTCGAGAAAAACAAAAAAAAACTCGCCAGGCCAACGGGCCAGAGGCATGCTAAGATCTCCGGTAACTGCGTACAATATTTCTACTTCGCGCCCGCGCGGAGCGGCCCCTGGGGGTCCCCGGACGAAAAGTACCCCGGGCGGTCCCCGGCCGGTTCGGGTCAGAGATCCCCGGCCGGGTCGAGTCGGATGGGCGCCGCTCTCGAGGCCCTCCAGAAGCCCCCAAGAAGGGCCAAGAGACCCCGAAGAGGCCCCCAAGATAAAACAAGAGGGCTCCGGGATGCCACAAGATCGCTCCAAGATGCCCAAGATTGCCCCCAAGCGCCCTAAGAGGCTTCCAAAAAAACACTCCCAAGAGGGCCCCTAGAGGTAAAAGTCATCGATTTCCCGGAAGTTTTGGACAGATTTGGGCGTTTCAACCTTTTCGGTTTCCCGACACCTCGGAGGCCGCCAAAAGGCCCCCAAGAACCCCAAAAAGTCTCCAGGTTAAGACGTCCCCGGAAGCCTCGGAGAACGCCCAAGAGTTTCCTGTGCACTGCCTCCAGGTGCGCGAAAATGGGCTGACGGAGTGAGCGAAGCGATTCAAGAAGATTTGTTTTGATCCGCGGGTCGAGAGCGCACCTCTTCCGGTCGAAGCTAAGCGGGCCGCGCACAGCTTTAATTGACAGAGGGGGGAAGGCAGAAGGAGGGGCCTCACGTCAAAGCCAAGAGAGGGCAGAGCCCGGGAATCAGGCGGTGCCGAAGACGAAATGCTTGCAAAGGAACGCTTTGAACAGGAACCCGGTGGCGATGTACCGAAGCGATTAAATAAGAACGACAGCGAAAAGCAAAGCGAGCGAGGGGGGGGGAAGGGGGGGCGGTCCCTCACCTGGCGTTTTCGGAATGATTTGCGCATCCCCAAGCTGTTTCGGGGGGTCCCAGGGACCCCCCTTCTGATCTAGCCGCTGCCGCCCCCAGGACCCTCGCCGTCGGAACCTTCCCAGGACCCTCCCCGGGACCGCTCCAGGCACCCCCCCAGAAGAGAAGAAAGAGGACCAGAAGAATCGAAGAGGGAGGAGGCCACAGAGCCGCGATGATCATCGAATCTGGAGCCCCCCGGATCGGCGGCACTGGCCGGAGGCAATTACAATAATAACAACAGCGAAAACGAAACGAGCAAACAAAAAACAGCAGCAACAACAACAACAACAAAACAACAACAACAATCAGTTTACGACTGTTCGCTTCTATCTGCTCGGGGGCCAGTCCGCACGTAGCCCTCTCCGTCTTCGATCGTACTCCCTTGGGGGTATATTTGTCTTGCCTGCTACGTGTATTTCACGCAGCCCGGCAGGGGAAGAGGAGACGGATGGAAGAAAGGACCAAAGGGGGAGGGAGGAGGATGTAGCACGAGAGAAAAATTCGCCGGCGGGGGGCTAGGAGCAGAAGCAGACGGACAGATCGGGCGGGTAGACCCTAACAGGCGGGTCGGGAAGGCGGGCCCAAGCGGCCAGGTCGAACAGGCGGGTTGCTGAAGCGTGCGTCCTGCATGAATCGCAGAGACATCTCGAGCGACAGCGAGATTCCCGACTAAATCGTGAGATGGGCCAAAGCGAGAGCGTGATTCCCGAGTGTCGAACGCGGCGTCTGGATACATTGTCAGGAGATCCCACGCGAGAGCGCGATTTCTGCATACACTGTGAGAAGGTCCAGCGCGAGAGCGCGATTTGATAATAAATTGTGAAGAAGTATTAGGCGGGAGCCGCTGTTGTTGCAAACCGGGGGCCAAAGACACAACTCTGAGAATCAATACGTTCCATAATGGAAAACAGGGTGCGAGCCCTGGGAAGAGCACTTCAATTGAAAAAACAATGTGCCCCGGAGGGGAGATCAACAAAACATATTTTTTTAAACAAGGATTAATATATAATATAAAATACGGTTGCAATCACAACAACAACAACAATAACTACAACAACAACCACAAGAACGACAACAACAACAACAACAACAACAACAACAACAACAACAACAACAACAGCAGCAGCAGCAGCAGCAGCAACAACAACAACAACAATCATTTTAAGACTGTTCGCCCTTACATGCTCGAGTGTCCAATAACGCGTATTTCCCAAACCCTCGATACCCGCCCTCTTCGTCTTCGATCGAACCCCTTTTGGGGGGTATACCTTTCTTCCCTGCAGGCCGGGCCCCGGCAAGCGGCGGGGCGGCCGCGGACCGTCGGCCTGGCCAGCGGCAGCGCTGATCGGCGGGGCGGCCGCGGACCGTCGACCCGACCCCAAGAGGGACGGACAGGGGGACCGACGACGACGACGACGACGACGACGACGACGACGACGACGACGACGACGTCGAAGACGACGCGACGACGACGACGACGGCGACGACGAGCGAAAGCGAGAGCGAGAGAAAACGACAGCAGGGCCACGAAGGGCACGAAGTAGGCCACGAAGGGCGACAGCGGGGACACGAAGGGAATGCGTATGGGGCCACGAAGAGCGCGAACGAGCGGGAGCCACGAAGTGCAAATTATGCGGGGCCACAGAAGGCAACTATGGGGCCACTGAGGGTAGCAACTGGGCCACGTAGGACAGTGAGGGGGATACAAATGGCGACAGTGGGGCCACGAAGGGCATGCACATGGGGCCACAACGGGCGCGACTCCTGGGTGCCTGGGTGTCGGGAGCGCGGCGCTTGGGCAAATTGCAGGAAATTCCAATGCAAGGCCATTCTTCAGTAAGTTGCAAGCAAGTCTCCAGCGAGAGCGCGACTCCAGAGAGCCGGGAGAGCGATTCCTGAATAAATTGTAAGGAAGTCCTCGGCGAGAGCGCGATTCCTGAATAAAATGCGAGGAAGTCTCCGGCGGGAGCGGGGGCCCTGGCTAAGTTGTAAGGAAGTCTCAAGCGGGAGCCGTTGTTGTTGTAACCCGGGGGCCAGGGGGCCAGTTTGAGCAGGAAGACTTTCCATGTCAAAAAACAGGGTGCGAGCGTCGAGGGGCACACTTGGATAGAGAAAAAACAGTATGCACCAGTGAGGGGGGATCAACAAGAATTATTCTTCAGAAATGAGAATTCAACAACAACAACAACCACAACAACAGCAGCAGCAGCAGCATCAACAACAACAACAGCAACAACAACAACAACAACAACAACAATAACAATACTTGTACCCTCATGCGCGATGTTTCCACACGAAGCATGCGACCATCATGATAACCATCCCCATCATGGGGGACTATTGTTCTATAGCGGTATCCACTATTCCCATTCCCAGATATCCGGCCCAATGAGGTTTTGCAAACACCTCCGATTAATTTCAACATATCCCGCCTCGAAAACACATGCCCGCGCCGATGCGAGACCGCCACTAGAGCCCCTGCCACGGGTAAAGCACAAGGAAGTATCGAGCGACAGGATTGACTTGGTGGGGATGGGGGCTGTCGGCGGCGAGGCAAGGACCTGGCCCTGAATAGAAAGGGAGGAAGACTCGAGCAGGGCCGCTGTTGTCGCTGGGAGCGGCGCCAATGCTGAAGAGAGTAGGGCGCTAGTTCAGCCAAAACAAAACGAGGTCTCCAGCGGGAACGCTGGTTTTGTTGGGACGGCGGTTTTCAGCGGCAAGGAGGAACACCACCTTGAGTAAGAAGGGAGGAAGCCTCGAGCGGGAGCCGTGGTTTTGTCGGGACGGGGGCTGTCGACGGCGAGGAACAGCACCGTCTTGAGGAAACAAGGAGGAAGCCTCGAGTGGGAGCGTTGTTCTTGCTGGGAGAAGCGCCAATTCAAAAGAGAGTAAGGCGCCAGTCCAGCGTAAAACGGCGGGAGGAAGTCTAGGGCGGGAGCGCTGGTTTTGTCGGGACGGCGGTTCTCGGCGGCGAGGAGGAACACCGCCTTGAGTAAAAAAGAAAGGAAGTCTCGAGCGGAAGCGTTGTTGATGCTGGGGGCGGCGCCGAAGAGAGAAAGAGTGGCGCGCCAGTCCCAGGTAAAACGGGAGGAAGTCTCGAGCGGGAGCGCTGGTTTTGTTGGGACGACGGCTTTCGGCGGCGAGCAAGAGCACCGGCCCTGGGCAAAAAAGGAGGAAGTCTCGAGCGGGAGCGTTGTTGTTCTTGGGGGGGTGGTTTGGGCGCCCCCCCAAACCTCTCGAGCGTGAGCCTCAGTTTCGATGAAAACGTAACCGGCGCCGATGCGAAAGCGCCAAAGCGCCTGGGGGAAGTCCAACAATAATAGTTGTGTAGTAACTATCATTCAACAACAAGAATCGGCGGTGGACAAACCTCCCTTTCGGAAACCTCCCCTCAGTGAGAACGGCCTGGGACCGAAACCGACGGACCCGGACCCGCAGAAATGACGGCCGCGACGCCCTCTCGCGAACCGAAAACGGCCAATTCCTTAATAGACGTGTCCGAAGGATTGCAACAAAAATATTGCACAAAAAAACCCTTGGTTTTGCAATCCTGGTTTTTTTTGCAATCCTTTTTTGCAATCTTTTTTTTGCAATCCTGTTTTGCAAAAGGGTTTTTTTTTGCAATCCTTTTTTTGCAATCCTTGGTTTTTTTTGCAATCCTTGGTTTTTTTGCAATCCTTGGTAGGAGGTCCGTCCACCCCCGAAAGAAACACAAAAACGTGTCCCTCCCACTCGCTCACGGGCGGTGTGGAGAGAGGCGTCCGCTTCGCGCTGCCTCGCGCTGCCGCCCGAGTGGTGGGCGCGGGCCTGCGCCTCCCCGGGGGGCGCGGCATTCGATGCCCCCCCGGCTTTGGCGCAAGACGCAGCAGGGACGAGGATAAGAATCGGCTGAGGATGCTGAGGAAAAACTGGAGACTCTCTGAGGTCCGGCAGGTCTGGAGGGCGC